TTTTTTTTAATTCGCAGGATTTTTAATTTACTTGTTCTACTATAATCATAGTGTTATCTACTGTAAATGTAGTAGTAACTCGCCTCATTCCCAGGCCTTCTGCGAGTGAGAAAAGGCCTGTTACACACTGTTCGCTATTGCGCCAAATACACAGCACAGAAAACTGTGGGCATGTCGAAGCTTGTGCACATGGCGATTTAGTCCAGTGACGGTCTCCTCCATTTCCACCTGCCAGTATCCGCTTAGCAAGTCAAGGGTACTAAACCACTGTGAACCGGCCAACGTGTCAAGGGTGGTGTCAATACGGGGTAACGGATAGGCATCCTTGCGGGTCACACTGTTGACGCGGCGGTAGTCCACGCAGAACCGCGTAGTCCCGTCTCAAGGACTTGTTGACCTCTCAATCACTCCATTGGCAAGCATCTCTGAAAGCAGTGCTCTCACCTCCTCCCGCTGCTGTGGAGATATGCGTCGGACCGGCTGTCTGATGGGCTCTGCATCTCCAGTGTTGACAGTGCTGGTCTGGCAGTGTTCTTCAATGTCGAGTGGTTCATAGACTTTGTTTTTGGTATCTCCTTTCTGCCACCTCTCATTTGCTAGTCTGGCGATGCAACTTGTAAGTAGGCAATATGTAACAGTATACATTGACATCGAATGGCATGGAAAAATCTGAACGTTCATGGTATTACAGGAATGCTAGGAATATAGGGCGCATGCGAGAATAGTGTGTACGAGGCCATCTCTCTCTCGTGTGAATTTCCTGAAAACGAGGCTAGCCTAGAGACTCAGCCAATAGGGAGAGAAAAACACAAGTGACTAGTATACCCCAACGTATGTATCAAATTAATCTGTGCATATGCATTGTGTTGCATATGTACTGAACCGTACTTTTTTCTAGCACACTAAGGTTTTTGCCCCTTAGTTCTCATACTAATGTAAAAGAGTGTTTTGACAAGGTTACCTCTCTTTCTTTGTAGCATACTCACGTTATCAATCAGATTGCTGTTGATGAGGAAGGTGAGTTTCTCGCTACTGCTTCTGATGATGGCAAGGTGCACCTTGATAATTGCAAGTGCAGATATAACAACTATTTTCTACAGGTTCACATCACTGGGCTTTTTGTCAAGTATAATCTAAGTGTCGAGTATGACACTCCAGCAAAGGTGCATTCATGTCCATTATTACTCTCACTTCGGCTGCAAAAGTTACAACGGAGGGCGAATGTTGATTCTCGCGATGCTTATAATGCTACCAGTCCTTCTAGCCCATGTCAGTATTTTAGAAAGCTAGCGAAAGTCCATTGTGTATCTCATCCCATTAGTTATCAGTTCAGACCTGTGCATGCAAGAAGTGGACTCATCTCACAGCTTCATCTCTCCATCTGTAGACAAGGCAGCAAAGAGCGATAGATAAGACGGTTTAACCAGGTTTATAAACATAGGGGGAGTGTATGCATGCACACCGACATAGGCGAGGCACAGGTGCAGAGGCAATTGCGCCTGCGCATGCATTATTATATGCTGGCTGTAGGAGGAGCGTGCCAGGCAATGCAAGCCAGTGCAGTCTAGTCAGCCGGATTGCCTCCTTTCACAGAGATATACAATTTAACGACTTACAAACAGGAGGCTTTAATTTCTCACATAAATCCAACAATTAGCAGGTAACAAGATACAGGGCCACTGTCAAAGTTAGGGAAGCCTACAACATGAAAGATACACTTTGCTGAGATGTTGTGAAAAAACTTGGAAGGGTTAAGGTGGCTAAGACATTTTTTCGCAATCTTTAAACCTTGTCTGTGGTACAAGAAACTGACACATTTACGCTTCTAATAATTATGTGTGTATAATTAAAGCACACACGGACACGTTTTAGTGATGCATTTTACATGTATTGTTGTTGTTATCCCCTTAGAGTGTTGCTATCCACCCTCATTTCAGTCGAAGTACTAACCGTGTGTTTGTACTGGGAAATGACAAGGTTAGACATACAAACAGAAGAAATGTGATTCTCGTTATTAGTATATACAATACTTACTCAAAATTCTGTATACAGTGTAGTATTTTTATTATACCTTCAGGGAGGAATATAACATTTGGATAGCCTTAGGCGCTTTTATTTTGACTACATCTTCACTTCTCTCGAACTTTCTAATGGTAGTACAAATGGAGACGAAACTTGGTACGCATGAGTAATACATGATTTTCAGGACAACTGCATGTTTTAATGAAAAGCACTAAAGTGCAAACCCTCGGCGAAGTAGCTCGCAGAGAGTCTGACACGGACTATCTACAGTAGTAGATAGCACGCGAGAGTCGATACACGCCATTCGTTGTGACTTCTTGTGCCTTCAAGATAGACAGAGCAAGCGGACCCAGTCGAGGTAGGTAAGCCTGTGCTAAATATAAGCGCATGCACATTATCTGCCAGCGATAAAATGGGCATTAGCCATACAATGCTGGAAGCGCTCTAGCTCTGCAACGGAGCATTTTCAGAGAAAACCCCACATATTTCTGACCTTCGTCGCCCGAGAGGTGAGATGTAGAGTAACAGACACATACACAGACAAACCCAACTACAGTAACCCTCGCTGCGCATACGCGCCGAGGGTTAACTACAACAAGTAGCCTCCGGCACTTTTCTTTAAGATTACTTCTTCACTTCTCAACCTCCTGACGGTAGCACACATGGAAGTGAAACTTGGTATGCATTGATTACTACATATTACCATGACAACCTTGAACAACAACAAATAGTCTCAGGCACTTTTTTTCAGATTACTTCTTCACTCCTCAAACCTGCTAACGGTACCACACATGGAGGTGAAATGTGGTACACGTGGATTATTACATATTACCATGGCGATCTTGAACAGCTTCAGGCAGTTTCTTTAAAATTACTCCTTAAACTTATTAACGGTAGCCGGATGAAGCATATTATTATATCATTTCCATGATGACCACATGTTTGTTTGAAACAACAAATAACCCCAGGATTTAGTAAATTAACTAGGAATGCGCACGCGCATATTTTGCCTCGTGCCTGCCAGCCAATGCGTACACAGTCCGACTGAGGCCACTCGTGCGTGCACTCTACTGACTGCGCGCGAAGCCAGACTTCCTACGAATCTGCGCGCACGGCGGAAGCTAGACTTCCTACGAATGACTTCCATGACGTCCACAACAACAAATAGCCTCCGGCACTTTTCTTTAAAATTAACTTCTTCACTCCTCAAACTTGTTAACGGTAGCACACATGGAGATGAAAGTTGGTACGCATGTGTATTACATCATTTCCATGACAACTACATACATGTTTCTATGACGACTACAGATAGCTCCAGGCACTTCTCCTCAAACTTGCTAACGGCAACACACATGGAGATGAAACTTGGTACGCATGTGTATTACCATGACGACAACAGGCATTTTTCTCTATTATTAATTTTTATACGTACTACGTAAAAATGAATGGAGACATACGGACCATCCCTCTATGCCTCTTTTTTAAATTCGCAGGATTTTTAATTTACTTGTTAAACTAAAATGGTCAGGACTTACAGCTTGAAAATACAGAAAAGTCATGCTACTGAGTAACCAACTCCATTACCATACCAATGTGTAGCTTGAAAATTCATGCTATTGAGTAACCAAGAGTCCAAAGTTCACGAGTGGCACACCAGGCAACAATATTATAGGGATTGTGTGATGGGGTCGTGGGTGTCAGCATGCTCAAATCTGTTCAATAACCATGCTTGGTGTATCCCATCCCTATCTTGTCTCCCTTTCCTTTTATACCATCCCTTTATGCCTCTTTTTTTTTATTTGCAGGGTTTTTAATTTACTTGTACAAACGTTCATTCGCATTTGTGAGTTACACGCTAACACACGTGTCCCCATTGTACTGTATTGCCTATGGCTATTTGTTGTTGTTTACAGTTTATAAACAACATTGTTTAAGAAAGGTTATGGATATCTACATTTCATTTGGAGTTATGGGTGTTGAATCTGAAGAAGAAGAAAATGATGATGAAAAACTTTCCCTATCATAGCCCCATGCATCTACATATGATGCTAGGTACCATGCCCATCCCTCTATCACTTTTTCACTCCTCAAACATGCCAACAGTAGCACTCCAGGGGATGAAGCATCATTTTCATGACGACCACATGTTTGTAATCAGCAAAATAGCCTCAGCCACTTTTCTTAAATGATTACTTCTTCGTTTCTAAATTGTCTAATGGTACCATCAATGGATATGAAATTTGGTACGCATGCCCATTACATCATTTTGCATGACGACAACAACGGGAAGTATTTAAATATGAAGCATATAGGAATTGCATAAAAAGAAAGGGAGAATAGATATGGATGGGATACATGAGGCATAGGTCATAAGCAGATTTAAGCATGCTGTGACACCCCCGACCCCATCTTACAATTCATAGTGTTGCCTATGTGAAATATTAAACAATAATGTAAGAAGGACCTGTAGCAGAAAGTGTTAGCCGAGTTACCAACACCGTTATAGAATCCAAATTGACCTTAAGAGTGGCACACCAGGCAGTAATTATGTGATGGAGCCGGGGTGTCAATGTGCTCAAATCTGTTCGTTAACCATACTTCATGTATCCCATCCCTATCCTGTATTCTGTCTCCCTTCTTTATTACCATCCCTATGCCTCTTTTAAATTCGTAGGATTTTTTATTTCCTTGTGCCTCTGATGCTTTTACAGCTGATAATGATTGAAGAACGCCGTTGGCCACTAGGGAACAAAGTGACAGAACTTCATGCTGGAGTAGACAGAGGGTTAATACCCTGTATAAAATGGAAAGATACTCTCATTGCATGGTGTAATAGTGAATCACAGGTATATGCCTTTCTTGTTATTCTGTTTTTATATCAGTGTACTTATAACCCAGGTTGTTAGGGTGTACGACACAGTTGCAAAGGAGCAAATTTCCTCAATCACATTTGATGATGATGGGTAAGTGAACAGCTATGGTTCACACAAAACCCTATGCCATATATTATGCTTTACAAACACACATCTCATTTCTGTTATCGTGTGTTATCGTGAATTGAACACACTCATGACCTGTATCATCAGCAAAGCAAAGGCAAAAACAACACAACTACACCACCGACAACTTGACATCAGCAACTCACAATACATAGCCATATCAAATAATTAATGTTGGTTTGTATTTTTACAGAATTAAATATCCAACATGCCTGTACTGGCAGAGTGCTGCAACCCTACTTGTTGGAAAGGGCCACTTTGTGAAGGTTTGTACAACACAGTCTGTAACATTTTTTGCTGGTGGGTAGGCAGAAAATACTTGCTAATCCTTGGTTAGCAAAGACAGTAATGTCACTGCCAGGTACATGCCTCTACCATGGATAAAGTCGCCAGGGATACTGTAGCCTGCTGGTCGGGGGAAAAATGCATTTACTTGACATGGGTTTGCCATATATACCTCTCCTCCCCTCGAACCTGACCAACATGCGAAGTGTAGATCAGATTACCCTAGGATTTGCCCCCTGCACACTGCAAATGGTATAAGCCAATGATTCTAAACTGTATTGCAATTTCCAGACTGCAACTATAAAGGAGGTGGACCGAAATTTCCAGAAATTATCTCAGTATTCTGGAGAAGTTGATCCAAATAGGAAAAAGAAGATAATGGCTATAGGTTAGTGATTTGTCATAAATGAAGAGGATATGTACTTAACAGTAATCCTGCAGACACTGTAACTTTTACGGTCGGTATGTGCTAGTTAACCCTCGGATCGCATGCGCAGCGAGGGTTATAGTACTTGGTCTGTCCGTCTGTCTGTCTGTCCGTCTGTTACCACATTTTCTGCCACCACGCACAACAAACAGGTAAAATAGTGACACCAACGGGTTCAGGGCTACACTGGCTTCATTTTTAAAACTAGTGATTTTCGTTAAAAGTGCCGCTTTCAGAAGTTTTTGCGTGAAAACCAAGTGAACAAGCCAATATGCTAATTAGCAGAGGCTTACCTCGATCGGGTTCGCTTGTTCTGTGGATGTTGAAGGCACAAGAAGTCGCAACAAACAACGTGTATCGACTCCCGCATGCTATCTACTACTGTAGCTAGCCTGTGTCCGACTCTCCGTGAGCTACTAGCGGGAGACCACGAGTAAACACATACTATTATAGCCCAACCCATAATTAGCGGTACCGCGCATGCGTAGTTCGCCGAGGGTTTACACTTTAGTGCTTTTCATTTTGCAAATGTACTTCGGGGTTTATAGAGAATGCTCATTCTTTTGTTAATCGAGTGTAAGGCATGCCATCCAACTACGTATCTTTGACCATGAGTCAATCGGACATTGAAATCAGTGGCATTGTTAAATTGGTTGACATGCTCACGCCACACGAACACATTTAGCACTGGATCTGCCGAGTTATTAATTAAGCTATTAAAGTGTGCTCTGATTGTTATACCAGATATTTCAAATGCATTACTTTTTACACTGTTATTGAATGAAGGTGGATCCGTTTACGCACTATTTTTATAGACACTATATGGTTTTGATCGAATACTCTGTCATCAGAGTACGTATGCACTACAGGGTTGTAACAACATTTAATATTTACACTTAGTTTTTTTGCAGTTGGCCAGAACATTTTCCCGAACTCCATTGTGTGTGGTGTTGTTCCTATATTCGATGAAAATGACTGGAAGTTGGTAAGAACTTTTCATTGTGTTAAGGTTTGCCTTTGGATTGTGTTGTGTTGTATTGGCTTACCGAAAATTGCCCTGGTAGCTGATTAAAAAGAGCACTCTGGTTAACAGAGCAATGCCATGGAGTCAAGTTTAAGACATCTTTTCTAGTTTATTACTTTTACAACCGTGCGTAATAGACTCCCTTATGTACATCAGCAAGACTCGGTACAAATAAGGTCTGTCAGAAGGGTGTGGTAAAAGACATAATAATTAGTAGCAGCTTCTCCTTTATTAGTATATGGCCTAACTTGGTTGCTCTTCTTTTTTCATATATGTAGGTTGTTTTGGGATACCCTTATAACGTTGATCAGGACAGACAAGTGGTAAGAATGTACAGACGTTGTTACAAAAAAAGTTGTGTTTTGGTAGGTGAATGGAAGGGATATTGTAGGTAAAAATCCTAGTAAGAGCTACATATTCTGTGCTTATTTTTCACCTATAGCCGGGTATTTATCAACACCACAATATTGTGACTATTATGTTCGCTGTAAAAGATGTATGTACAGCTTCAGCTTCACTCAAATTCCCTCTGAAAGTTAAGTACGCTATGGTTATGATAGGAGAAATTTAACAAATGAGTTATCATGTTGAAACAAGGAAGTAAATAGTGCAGAAGGCCTGCAATGAATGATGGGATAAACAATGAGGACACCAAAAAACTATACTGCCCATTTATCAACCCTGTAGATATCCATCTAGGAGATAGTAGCTTGTATTATACATTGTATCACGCATGCAAAAGTACACTAACGCTTTTTTGGGTGCAGGCAGATGGTACAGTACCACCACCACACATGATTGTAGTGCCACTTGCCAGATATGACCAAGCTCAAAAGAAATTTGAAAATCCTGGAACATGCTCTAAAGATAAACTTCTTCCAAAGGGTCACCAATTCTGTCGCGCAGAAGAATACCATCTTGGTAATGGCTATTTCTATTTTTATCTTCTAAAATCTTACCCTATTTTTAGAGTGTGTTGGAGGTGAAGAGCGATTTTACATACTCACTCCTATTGACATTATATTAGCAGAGGTTTGTTGAGTTCCATATTTCTGCTCTTTTGTGCATTTGTACACACTATAAACTCATACTAGGGGAATGAAGTGCATTGTTGGCGAGTGAAGCAAGCAGTTTAATATTTTGAGCTTGTTTTTCATGTGATGTAGACTGTGCACACAGAGTCCGTCACATGGTAAATATATACAGAAAGTTCCCGCATTGAAAGGTCTGGGTAGGCTTGCTTCGCTTGCCAATAATTAGAGCATAGTTAGTAAAGTAAGAGTACGATAAAAACTCTGAAAGGAAAAGAAAATCATGCATTGGTATACTATGGCTGCGCATATTTTCAATGGAGCCTCAACTACATATGCGCCGTACGTTATATTCCACGGCATATCCTGTGAAATATAAGGATGTCTCAATCAATGACGGTACTATCCAAATCTCCAGTACTGTCCTCCACAATTTCTCTCCATGAAAGGTATATATATTACATCTGATTTGGATATGCACAAAGATTGCTTCGTTTTTTCTGACAAAAACTTCAACATGCACAAGGCATCGGTGGGTGAACTAAATCGGATCCCACTCGTTTTTTTTTGCTTATTTTCTGCCTAGCACTATTCTAAAGACACAGACATACCCGAGTTACCATTCTCTGCTTACTGAGCACAGCAGAGACAGGGACTCAATGACTAAAGCTTCAATCCCGTTGTAGTGTTTAGTATAGCTTGCTTCATAACCCTGTTACATCTGCATATTTTTTGTTGGAAGGAGCCTGCAACAGAGCAATCGTCAAATAACAGCTCGGGGCATTCGTCTGTTACCCCTGGCTGGCAGCTAAAAATGGTGGCAAGTCTGCAGCTGTGCCTAAATGTGGTCCAAGTATCTGCTTGTTGATAACATAATCCGTTAGTATAATTATTACTCTACCACGCCCACTGCGGGTGTTTCCACAAATGCCCTCAGGAATGTGTGATAAGGTTGCGCATTCGGATTTATCAACAGATTTCCTCAAATTCAGGTATTTGTGAGAACACCAATGTAGATGCCTTATAGTTATGTATGTACAGTGTGTATGAAAGAGGTATATAGCCTTGATCCCAGGCCTTCTCCCTCCTCCTCACAAATATTACATTGTACGTGTGACGTTTGTACCATGTGCAGTTACGGAGGGAGATGGCCTGGAAGATTTTCTCACGTGATACATGGCACAAACGTCACCATGCATCACGCATAATATAAAATTGTGTGTATTGCTTATGGGTGTGATGTCTTCTGTGCCACGTATCATGTGAGATAATCTTCCAGGCCTTCTCCCTCCTTAACTTCAAAGTCACACGTATATAATATGCAAGGAGGAGGGAGAAGGCCTGATATCGAGGCTAGGAAAGAGGCGCCTAACATACTGCATTACACGGCGTGGTATTATGTAAATAATGTTACGGTGTATGAATGTTTATGTGGATGAAATTTGAGTTGGTTTAGTTTAACTTCAGAGATTTATTCCTTCATTCACAGAAACGTGGTGATTTGGACCATATTGAATGGTTGCTGAATAAAAGCCGCTACACTGTAAGTTGCAACTTCATTTTTTGCTTTTCAAGTTGGAGAGAGGTGGTAATGGGAGCTACCCATGTAAAACAAAGCACACAAACTCAGTATAGGCGCATTATTTCGCGGTGGCACCCCCAAGTATTTACACTCTAGAGCGCTGTTCCGCACAAACGTGGGTGTGTCAGTACGCAGTTATGCGCGAACGAGCGTTTGCTGAAAAACTCGCGAGATACGCGTGCGTAGAGTGTTTACGACGGCAATTGCGGGGGAGCACGCCATCGCGCGTTACACGCGTGAACGCTAAGTCTGCATAAATTGGTGTGACTTCCCGATTGAGTGCGTAAAAGCGCGATATTTCACAACCGTTGCCGTCTGTGCGCACTTTTACACGCATTATTTTACACGGGTATTAGTTAAAAGTGTTGTAAAGTTTCACCTGTGGAGTGTCCAGCCTATGAGAGCAGTGCTACACATCCTACCATTAATTGTGACATCCCATTTAACTATCACAAACATCTCAGCTACATGTACCATGACCTGCTTGCAGCTGTCATTTTTGGATGTCTAATTATAATGTCTTTCCAGTGGAGTTCGGCATAATAATAATTATCTGCAGAACAGGAGTCTAAGAAAGTATCACAAAAAGGAGTAGATATTGGACACATACTTTCCACTCACCCAAACCCTCATTTATGAGATGATCTCTGTTAAACACTGTGCATTGGTTGGAATTCACTGTGGTTATGCGTTCCTTTATGTTGCAATGTTATAGTATGATGATTTTGTGCAGGAAGCTATGAGCTTTGCTGAGAATCCTGTTGTTTCAAAGAATTTACCTTCTAGTGTATTACAGGTGTGTGATAAGTATGTAAGTAATGTGGTGTCTGCATGCAAGAGATAATTAGACACTTCATCAGGACTGAGAAATTGCGCAGAGTGACCATTCTGGCATTGTTGTAGTATCGTAGTGCTCTTTTTTGAAGACACACTCATTGAATGACATCATAGCTGAAAATATGATGATTTATGCAGCCCAGAAGCTAGCATGTTAAACTGGACCATTGCAGTGCATTGATTATATTATTATAATGCATGGGTTTGATGAAGGGAAAAATATTCACTACTATGCACATATCTTTTATTAGGATATTGGGATTCGTTTTATATATCACCTTGTCAAGCGTGGAAAGTTTGCAGAAGCTGCCAAGTAAGTACATTTTAATGTATAGTGTATTCAAGTTTAAGTGACAGATTACTAGTGCTCTCGCTATCTTTTCAGTAACATCCTTGCTCCAACGTGCAAGGACAAACCACATCGGGCCCCTTCTTCTCGGACTAATGCTGGTCATCTAGAGTCGTAACTTGATTTGCCTAGAAAAAGAGGAAATAGCTGGCGAAACAACTTGCAAGCGAGAACTAGGACAGAGACTAGATGGGAAGCCCATTGTGCAAGTGATGATGAGTAAGGAGATGATTTCTGGATCATGGGCAACTTCATGGTACATATCGTATCTATCCTTTGGTATTCCACTTAAATGTAACAACCGAATTCCTATTGATATATACAGTACATGAGGTGTCCCTTCCAAAACATAAACAATTCATTTGATGATGTATGTCAATTTCCTATAATGTATGACAAGCTGTTATTGGGATATCTGTTTTCTTCCAGGCTATTTTGCCATTTATCCCTCAGATGGACCCACAACTCAGTCCAGCTGTCTACGAATTAGTCCTCAATACATTTTTGCAGAAGGACTCCAAAGTAATGTGTCATGTTGAGCCTATTGCTCTCTATCCACTGTTCAGCGTAGATAGAGCCCCACTTAGTGCTATATACATTATTACAAGTAAATTAAAAAAGAGGCATATAGAAGGCAAGATAAGGATGGGATACATGAGCCATGGTTAATGAACAAATTTCAGCATGCTGGCACCCTGACCCAATCACACAATCCCTATGATTGTTGCCTGGTGTGCCACTCATAAACTCTATTTGTACTGTTGGTCATTCAGTAGCATCCCATCACACAATCACTATATTGTTGCCTGTTGTGCCACTCGTAAACTCCATTTGGACCCGTGGTTACTCCTCATGCACTGAGCATGACTTCACATTGTTATGGTAACAGTGTGTGTTACACAGTAGCATGACAAGTTTGTATTTTCAAAGCTTTAAATCTGGACTACTTAATGTTGAATGTGTGACTCTTTCACCTAGGCAACATATATAAACATGCTCATGTATCCATCCTCAGATATCTCCCTAGGTTCTTTTTATTTACCATCTTCTTATATGCCTCTTTTTTAAGCATCCATCAGGATTTCTACGTGTACTCGGCCCACTCATTTTTATGTACGTACGTACAATATCTCTGTGAAAGCAAGCACCTATAAAGTATTAACAATAGCGAGAAAAATGCCTGCTTGTCGTCATCGAAGCTTGGCGGTTGTAATAGGCATGCGTACCCAAGTTCATCTCCATGTGTGTGCTGACAGTTAGGAAGTTTGAAAGAGTGAAGAAATTAGGGCCTGAAGCGATTTGTTGTTGTATCGAACAGAATATGCGGTCATCATGGAATCAAGGTCATACGACAGGCGATACCAAGTTTACCCATCTCATGTGCTGTACCGTTAACAGTTGAGGAGGTGAAGAAGTAATATTAAAAGAAAAGTGCTGAACTATTCGGAAACCACAATATTGTTGTCAAGGAAACATGCCAGATACGCATGCGTACCAAGTTTAATCCCCATTAGCAAGTTTTAGGAGTAAGGCTATTTGTCGTTTTGTGGTTCATGGAAAATTGTAGTTATCATAGAAATGATTTGTTTAATATGCAGGCCTACCAAGTTTCATCTCAATGTGTGCTACTATAGACAAGTTTGAGGAGAATGCCTGAGGGCTATTGTTGTTGTTCAAAGTCGCATGGAAACATGTAGGTAGTGAAAAATGCTATACATTACATACCAAGTTTCATTCTAATTAATTTTATGATACATTAGAAAGTTGAGGAAGTGAAGAAGAATTTTAGCAATGTGTGA